CCCCTCCCTGCTGGCGTTTCGGAGGAAAGTGAAGACCTGGCTGTTCGAACAAGCATTTGATTAAACAGTGTAATTGAACATAGGAATACGGAATAATGGATGATGAGACTGGATTCTGATTTTACTGTTGAGGCGCTAATGATTGTTATACGGATGTTTAATGATTTATGTTACAATTGTTTTTAATTGCCCTATACTTGTCTTGTGATGTTTTGTATTGATGTTGTTCACCGCTTTGAGTCACCTGAGGGCTGAGAAAAGAGGTATATAAATGAAGTAAGTAAGTAAGTAAATAAATAAATAAATAAATAACCGGATTTTATACAGCTGTGTAGAAGGGGCCCAAACTGTGGTATTTTATTTTACTCCACTTAAATTTTGCACTTCTTTCTTGAAATTTTCAAAGTTATTACTCCTATTCCAGCAATGACTGACAGTGTATCGGTATTCCAAAGGCATCTTCCTAGGCCCCTTCTACACTGCCATATAACCCAGATCATCAAAACAGATAATCCACATTTCCTACTTTGAACTGGATTATTTGAGTATACACTGCCATGTAATCCAGTTCAAAGCAGATTATCTGGATTTTATATGGCAGTGTAGAAGGGGCCTTAGTTTCTGGTGAATGCTCCTATTCCAATAAAAATAGAAGTTGGATAAGAATGTACAATGTTTTTTGGACCCCAGATTCATCCAGCCACAGCTTGAAACTATTAGGAAATAAAAACCCCAGCACTTTTTCAATTGCTGGCCAATTTATACAAGAGGACTATTTTGCTATGCCAAATATGGGACTTGAGCATCCACACATTTTGGAATCCACGAAGGATCCTGAAATCAACCCCCAGTGAATGTTGAGGACTCACTGGGAATTGTAAGGAATCCTGTGAGTTGTAGTTTGATACAATACTGACACTTTGGGTGGAGAAGGTGAAATACCTTGTAAAACCCATCTGCATCAACTACCACTTTCTACCCGGGAGTACAATGCAGGACAAACAAAAATTGAAACATGTTCTTCAGCTTCTTTCTCAGTAACAAACACGTCTCCCCCCCCCCCTTTTTTTTTTTTTAGGATAAGATCTGCAATTGCCTGAAGAATCTGAACGAGGAGAACTTAAAATTTCTGGCATCAAAAGCAGCCATAGAAAAGGAGAGCCAAGACCTTCTTGTAAGTGACCTGGAAAATACCATACATAAAAGCGGGGGGGGGGGGGGGGGGAGCTGTGATAGCAAAGTGCCCAACCATCTCCAGAAATTGAGAGGCTCTTTTGAGAGTGGCCAATGTTGTCTTCAAAAGGTTCCTCCCCTTCTAAATACTAATGTAACATCGGCAAAAAGGTGGCCTTTCTACAGTGTTTTTGCCAAACAGACTACATTCCTTAAAGAGGCACGCTCTTTTCCTGTTTGCAGAATGAAACAGAAGCAGAAAGGGAAAAAGTAATGTCTGCGTTCAGAGAGCTACATCACTTTCTGGAAGATCAGGAGAAGCGCCTGCTGGTCCAGATGGAAGAGATGGAGAAAGAAATTATAAGAAAAAGAGAGGAGCATCTGGCCAGGTTTTCCAGAGAAATCTCATTCCTTGAGAGTCTCATCCAAGAGATGGAGGAGAAACGTCATCAGGAGGCCAGTGAATTCCTGCAGGTAAGTTGGCGAGAGGCTTCGCCCAGCTCCCTCTCAGGTGAAAAGGTGGCTCTCAATCACTTTGTGATTTACTCTTCCAAATGGGAAGTGAAGGATCTCAGCTGTAGTTTCTTACAATTGGGATCACTTCCTTGAAGATCACCATAGAGCAGTGGTTCTCAACCTGTGGGTCCCCAGATGTTTTGGCCTTCAACTCCCAGAAATCCTAACAGCTGGTAAACGGGCTGGGATTTCTGGGAGTTGTAGGCCAAAACACCTGGGGACCCACAGGTTAAGAACCACTGCCATAGAACCATGGTAGAGGGCCTGGATATTACTAGAGAAGTGTTCTTTCAGGTTCAAAAATGTATTTATTTTATTTGTGGCTTTTCACTTTCACAGTGGTTTTGTGTTCCTGATCCCAGAAAATTTGGAAGGATGACTGTAAATTATAATTTGTTGCTTTTGTTAACCACCATCAAGTCAACTCCAACTTAATTTTTCCCCAATACTGTTTCCCACTTTATCAAGCATTATTGTTTTTTCCCATTGAGTCATATTGTCTCTTGATAGCTCAGAGGTACAACAGCCATCTTGCTTTCTAGGGAGAGCAACAACTTGGTTATAGGAGCCCCCGGTGGCGCAGTGGGTTAAACCCCTGTGCCGGCAGGACTGAAGACCGACAGGTCGCAGGTTCGAATCCGGGGAGAGGCGGATGAGCTCCCTCTACCAGCTCCAGCTCCTCATGCGGGGACATGAGAGAAGCCTCCCACAAGGATGATGAAACATCAAATCATCTGGGCATCCCCTGGGCAATGTCCTTGCAGACGGCCAATTCTCTCACATCAGAAGCGACTTGCAATTTCTCAAGTCTCTCCTGACACGACCAAAAAAAAAAAACCCCAAAAAACAGCTTGGTTTGCTTTAAGACCTCTTAAATTGTCTTTCTAGCTCTCCGTTGTATCCTAAGAACTCTCAAGCACCACATTTCAATTAATTGATTTTCTTCAGTGTGGCTTTTTTACCATTCAGCTTTCACAATCATACATGCCAAAGCTACATGTTCCAATCTGCCTGGTAAACAACTGTCTCATAAAGGGCACACAATATATTAAGGCCATCACTTTGAGGAGTTCCCATCTATCCTCAACCTTGAGTTAAAGATTCTGGTATCATCTGAATATGAGAGAGTCAGATGGCATCATTCACGGTAATCTTTGGACTGTGGCAAGCACTGAATTCTCTTCCTTTTCTCTTTTCCCTCCCAGGATATTGGAAGGGTCTTGAAGAAGTAAGTAATATAATAACACTTTATTTGTATCCCACCCTATCTCCTTGAGGGTACTCAGGGCGGATCCCAGCATATACAGATGCAAGGTAAACATTCGATGCCTCGAAACAATGAAACAAAGTACACAGATGAAGGTAAAGGCTTCCCCTTCATCTCCAACTCTGGAGGTGGTGCTCATCTCAATTTCTAAGCTGAAGAATTGTCGTTGTCTGTAGACACCTTCAAGATCATGTGGCCAGCATGACTGCATGGAGCGCCACTACCTTCCAGCAGAAGCAGTACCTATTGATCTACTCACATTTGCATGTTTTCAAACTGCTAGTTGGCAGAAGCTGGGGCTAACAGTGGGAGCTCACCCCATCTTGCAAATTCAAATTGCCAACCTTCCAGGCAGTAAGTTTAGCAGCTCAACACTTTAACCCGTTGCGCCACCAGGTTAAGATTGTATACCTTTTCTTTTATGGTACTGAAGAAAACCCCATGCTAGAGATGCTGTAGGTCAGAAACAACTTGAAGGCATACAGCTACAACAACCCAATTGTTCCAGTGTCCTCTCTTTAAAAACAAGTTTTCCCACCTTGGCATAGTGTACTTGTGCATTTGTATTGCAGCAATTTTACCCCAGTATCTCTCTGCAAAGGTGTGCTGTTAGAATGATCAAAATAGAGATTGTATGGGACGTTTGCATATTGTCCAAAGAACCTGTTTTTTGTTGCTTCTTTCTTGGAATATCTGCAATGGGATATAATTGTAATCAACACTTTTCTTCTAACTTCCTAGTAGCAGCAGATGAAGAAGAAAATGGGTAGAGAAACTCTGAGCAGGATAGAGCCATATGAGGTTAATGTCTAAACTTTAGGAAGATGTGCAGATATGGATCTTTGGCTATTTGACATCTCAGGAACTTTGATGAAGCATCATCCTCTCCCCGTTCATTTCTCTTTCTCTTTTGCTTTTCAGAATCTGCCTGTCTCTGAACTTTCTGTAGTCTCCTCTCCCAGATTTCATTTTCTGTATCCTACTGAGGAATTTTGGATAGTAAACTAAGGTTATATTTCCTAATCAGGAATGAGATGAGAGAGACGTTTCGGAGTGTTAAGTTTGTTCCACTTGCCCTGAACCTGAAGATCTCAGAGCTGCGAGAGATAAATCTCTTTTTAGAGGATGCCATGAAAAAAGGCAAAGGTAAGGAAAGGCAGCTGCAATGATTTTATGCCAGGCTCTCTCATTGGTAGAAGGCTCCTATCATTGTGAGTGAAATGGCATTCTACAGCCATTTTGGTTTTTTTCTTTTTTCAGATCTCTTTCTGAGAAAACAAAAGATGGATGAAGCGGTAGAAAATAGGGCAGAGTTTCCAACTGAAAAAATTGGTATCAGGACCCAGCCTCAAATTCCAAGAAGATGGGAAGGTAATTACATATTAAAAAACTTCACGCAGAAACCTCTAAACTTATCTGGACCTTGGCAAGGGGAAGACTTTAGGCTTTCTTATGATCGTTTCCTTGGGAAAGTGTATTTGCATGTCCTGAAACAAGCTGCCTCCTCTGGATGGGTATCCATGTACAATCCTGGAATCTTAAATGATCAGTCACTGCAGAGCCTTGAAAGTCCCAAACGAAGCAGGCTAGCAGGACTTGTTCATGAGCCAGAGCCACGGTGACTCCACACTGGCCAGTAAATCTATGGTCAGTGTAGAACAGAAATGTGAAGTGGAAATGCTCAATACTGGACCACAGGTGGCCTGACACACCCTTCTGGACTGTTTATGGGCCCAAGTTGGCATTCACGCAGTCTCCTCCTTCCAAGGCCACACAAGCTCTGCTAGGTTGTCATCCTACCTTTCATGTTGCCATCCTTAGGCAGTCACACACATACGCATGAGCGTCCCATACAGACATCAGCAGAGATGAGACAGAAGGAGAGAGCCAATCTCCCAGTGTTCTTCCTGGTTTTGCAGGTGCCTATACTAATGTCAAAACGGATCACGTGAAACAGCCAAGAATCTCCATAGTGCTCTGTGGCAGGCTAGATTCAGTGAGTGTGGTGATTTGGGCACAATAATAATAAAAATAATATACTTTATTTTTATCCTGCTTTATCTCAGTGGAGAGACACAGAACAGATTACAGTATACACATATGGGGCAAACATTCAATGCCTTTTACACACAGTGAACAATGACATACAACACAGACAAAGGTAAAGGTCTTCCCCTTTTTCCCTCACCGGCATCTGGAGGCATGCTCAACTCCGGCCATGGGAAGGTGCTCTTGTTCCATTTTTCCATGCCAAGAAGCCTGTTGTGTTGCTGGCATGTCTGCATATCTGCATGGGCACCCTTTTACCTTTCTGCCAAGGTGGTATCTATTGATCTACTCGCATTGCATTCTTTCAAACTGCCAGGTTGGCAAAAGCTAGGGCTGACAGTTGGGAGCTCACCCCGACTTGTGACTTTGAACTGCCAACCTTCCAGTCAGCAGATTTTCTGCAGCTAGTGGTTTAACCCACTGTGCTACCGCGGTCACAATTCATCCTCTTTGTCCTGCACCGATAAGTTTAGGGAAAGTGTGATGATGGCAATGTCCCATGTAGACAACACTTGGAAAGAAATGGAATGAGGACACTCATCTCTAACCTTCACTACAATGCCAGTTGATGAGCTACTTACCACTGGTACTGCTCGTTTGCTTCCGTTGGCTTACCGCTACATGGCAGTGATACCAACTTCCCCTGCAAAACTTTTCTGCGAGAGCTACATGCCTTGTAACCTTATTTTCCAGATAACCCTCATAGTTAACCCCAAGACCGAGAGGTCACAGGTTCGAATCCGGGGAGAGGCGGATGAGCTCCCTCTATCAGCTCCAGCTCCTCATGCGGGACATGAGAGAAGCCTCCCACAAGGATGATAAAAACATCAAATCATCCGGGCGTCCCCTGGGAAATGTCCTTGCAGACGGCCAATTCTCTCACACCAGAAGCGACTTGCAGTTTCTCAGATTGCTCCTGACACGACAAAAAAACAAAAACAAAACGTCATAGTTTGTGCTTTCTTATGATCTGATTACAAGATTTGTTATGCTGTCTTGGTGCTTATATTTTTTATTTCTGTTCTTCCTAGATGTTCTCATATCTGGACCCCCACCACAGAAAGGTAAAATTCAATTAAAATCTGTTTAAAATATAAAGCAAGACTTTATCTTCATTAGGGATGGCAAATTGGGCAGTAACTTGGTAGGTATTTTTCTTCGAGGGGTTTTTGTTTAGTAGAGTTGTAAATATCTTGCACTCAAGGTACTACTTCCAGTTAATGCAGATTTTGGTCATAAATTAGTTCTGAAATAAGAATCCATGCTGTAGGCAAAGCAGAACACTGTAGCTGTTATTTATTTATTTATTTATTTCAAATATTTGTACTCTGCCCTTCTCAACCCGCCCGGGGGGGGGGACACTCAGAGCGGCTTACAGCCGGCAACGATTCGATGTCCCCATATACACACAATAAAATAAAATACGGTAATCACAATAAAACATTAAATCAGTTCAATTAAAATCTGTTTAAAATATTACAGCCCGGTGGCATTATCTAAACCGAATTCTGTGACCAGAGACTCCATCAGAAGCTTGTCCATAGTCCATTTCCATAACAATTGTCATCATTGCCATTGTCATTGTTAGCTGCTACCCGAAGGCCTGGTACCACAACCATGTTTTCTACTTCTTTCTGAAGGAAAAGAGGGACGTGGATAACCTAATTTTGCTGGGGAGCGAATTCCACAGGTGGGGGGCCACCACCAAGAAGGCCCTGTCCCTCGTCCCCGCCAAGTGCGTTTGCAACAGAGTTGGGGCCAAGAGCAGGGCCTCCCCAGAAAATCTTAAACTCCGAGATGGGACGTAGATGGAGCTATTATAATATATGCAGCTCTCATTCTTTTGGCCACATGAGTCTTCCAAGGGTCCATGAAAAAGAGGTGTTAATGCTTGACACCTCTTTAATTTTCATTACTCAATGTCGTGGAATCTAAAGAATTGCAGTTTGGTGAGGCACCAGCACTCTTTGGCAGAGAAGGCTAAATACTTCATAAAGTACAACTCCCAGGATTCCATAGTATTTAGAGTTCACTACCATCCCCAGAGAGTCTGTCCACTATTTTTTACTGTGAAGAAATTCTTTCTAATGTTTAGCTGGAACCTCTGTTCTTGTAATTTGAATCAGGAAAACAAGTTCATTCCACCTTCTATTTGGCATTGCTTCAGTTGTTTAAAAATGGCATTCATGTCACCTTTTTGGCTGTGTCTACACCAGCCGATACATCTACAGCCTGTCTGAGTATGATAGAGTTGGATTGAAACCGTGACTGTCACTTCACCTTCTATATTGCTGTCACTGCTTCCAGACTGGTCTGCTGACTGGGATGCCACCATCGTTACCTTTTCCCTGCTTTTATTAGACAGAGAAAAGCTAATCCAGATCATACATGATCCAGAGGTACACCTTGCCCCAAAGTCACAGAATACTCCAGAACTTTACTTGAATTCCTGAGCATCACCCTAACTTGTGAGATAAAACTGGATGAACTCACAATACTTAGCAGAATCATAGAATCATAGATTCAAAGAGTTGGAAGAGACCTCATGGGCCATCCAGTCCAACCCCCTGCCAAGAAGCAGGAATATTGCATTCAAATCACCCCTGACAGATGGCCATCCAGCCTCTGCTTAAAAGCTTCCAAAGGAGCCTCCACCACACTCCGGGGCAGAGAGTTCCACTGCTGAACGGCTCTCACAGTCAGGAAGTTCTTCCTAATGTTCAGATGGAATCTCCTCTCTTGTAGTTTGAAGCCATTGTTCCGCGTCCTAGTCTCCAGGAAGCAGAAAACAAGCTTGCTCCCTCCTCCCTGTGGCTTCCTCTCACATATTTATACATGGCTATCATATCTCCTCTCAGCCTTCTCTTCTTCAGGCTAAACATGCCCAGCTCCTTAAGCCACTCCTCATAGGACTTGTTCTCCAGACCCTTGATCATTTTAGTCGCTCCTCTGGACACATTCCAGAAGTGGAGGAATGTAGAGTCTGGAGCCAAATAGGGTGAGCCTGGATTTAATGCCCATGTAGATTAGTCCATTGTCTTCTCTTCTCCAAGATAAACATATTCAAACCCTGGTGTTTGTTTTACTGGGAAAGTCCAAGAATCTGGAAAAGGAAGGGGGATTAACCCAATCGGCTCTGAACTACTGCCCATGAAAACCCTTCTGATTTGTGAGAAGAGTGTGATTTGGAGGAAAGGGATTGCTGAAGCTCAGGATATTAGTGCTCCAGATAACATGTTTTTCTTTTCTTACCCCGTTTTCTCTCATCCCTTTCCCCTGTAGTGAACATAACTCTGGATACAGACACAGCTTTTCCCCGCCTCATCTTGTCCGAAGACCTTAGAAGTGTGAGATGGGACAAGAAGTATCAAGACCTGCCTGAGAATCCTGGCAGATTTAACCTATGTCCTATTGTTCTGGGCCGTGAGGAACTCTCAGAAGGCAGATATTTCTGGGATGTTTCTGTGGAAAGTGAGGAAGAGTGGACTGTAGGTGTTGCCTTAAAATCTGTGACGAGAAAGGGGCCTGTAATGATTCAACCTGAAAGTGGGATTTGGGCGATAGGACTGTTAGATCTCCCCCTGTGTCGAAACGAGAAGCTCAGGAAGATCCGAGTATTTCTGAGCTGCACAGAAGGTCTGGTGACCTTCTATAATACGGACACAGAAGACTTTCTCTATGAGTTCTCTGGTGCGTCATTCAGAGGACAGCCCATTCTGCCTTTCTTTCGTGTGTTTGTAGGAGGCCACCTCAAAATCTGTCATTAAGGTAGCCAGGTTGGCCTCAGGAATCTCTGACACAAGTTGCCCGTGATCATATTCATGATTTTAAGTGTTCAGATTTGTACTTGTATTAAAAACTACTGACTTTTTCCTGTTCCAGTTGTGTCACTCCACTATCTCATATTTGTGTTGTTGAAGGCTTTCATGGCTGGAATCACTGGGTTGCTGTGAGTTTTCCGGGTTATGGCCATGCTCCAGAAGCATTTTTTCCGGACGTCTTGCCCACATCTATGGCAGGCATCCTCAGAGGTTGTGAGGCTGTTGGAAACTAGGCAACTTGCTAGATAGACTACCCCACTTCTTTAAGTAATGGGCTCCATTGCTGAATCATGTTTACCATTAAGAGGGTATTTCTAATGTTCTGTTAAAATGTACCCCCTGCCCCAGAGGGTAAACCTGGTCCTACACTCCAGAGCTGCATAAAATAGACCTGACTTCTCTTTTCTATGACAGCATTTGAGGTATTTAAAGAGCACATTTATGCCACCCCATCTTCCCCAGGCCGGGCATGCAATAACTCATTTAACTTTTCTTCACATGTTTTGATTTTCAAAACTTAAAGTTCTTGTCATCTCTAAACTTACTCCAGCTTGTTTATATCTTTATTAAAATGATATGCACAGAAGTGAATGCAGTACTCTAGCTGAAGCTCGGCCAGCATAGAATATAGTGAAATGATTGCTTCAATTATTACATGCAAAAATATTATCTTATTCGCTGCTCATGTTCAGTTTATGACCAACAGTAATCAGTACACAAGAACTACTGCTAAAACAAGCCTCCCTCCCAATCCTACAAGTGTGCATTTGATATCTGTAATCCAATTGTAGATTTTGCATTTGTCTTGGTTGAATGTCATTCTCTTTATTTCAGCCCAATTTTCTATTTTATCAGGGTTCACTTTATTGTGGTTCTATTATTTCAAGGTGCTTAAAAAGTACAAGAAAGACAAATTCCTACCCTGATGAATGTTTAGCTCAGACTGTACCAGAGCAATACTGCACCTGGACTGTGGTGCAGCTGTCTGAGTGTCAGCTGCATTAAGATCACTTCTGACCACAAGGTCATGAGTTCAAAGCCAGCCCGGGTCGGAGTGAGCTTCCGACCAATTGTGTAGCTTGTTGTCGACCTTTGCAACCCAAAAGACAGTTGCATCTGTCAAGTAGGAAAATTAGGTACCACCTATGTGTGGGGAGGCTAATTTAACTAATTTACGAGGCCATAAAAAAAGACTCCAGCAAAGCACTCCAGCAAAAGCATGCGGGGAATGCGGAAGTACTTCATCAGTGTCGCAGATGGACAATAAAAGCGGCAGCTCCCCTGGCGGCCAGAAAACTTAAATAGCCTCTGACTGTCTGTCTATATGTGTTGTGTTTGGCATTGAATGTTTGCCATATATGTGTACACTGTAATCTGCCCTGAGTCCCCTGCGGGGTGAGAAGGGCGGAATATAAATACTGTAAATAAATAAAATAAAATAAATAAAACCCACAAGAACCTACTGCTACCCATTATTCCTTGTCTAAGGAAACCCCATGAAATTCATGAGTCAAAAGCATTTCAAAAAGCAATAAAATTGTCTTCTTGGTAAGATTTGTCCAGGGCTTATCATTGCCTTCTTCTGTGGTCACCCAGTGCATTTCATTAGGAAACAGGGATTCAAATCCAACTCTCCAAAATAATAGTTCAATGCTCACACCTATTCCACCAAGAATTTCTTCCCGTCTGTTCTAGCTGCACTTTTAAAGAGAGGTGCACTTGGCTAGATCTGACTGGATTGTCACCTCATCTTCCATGTTAATACTTCAGCTCCTATCTGAACACAGATCTGTGTTCTCATTTTGGGCATCCCTTGGTACCTGCAGGGATTTTGGTATCCGGGATATCAAAATCTGTAGATGTTCAAGTACTAAAATGACAGCATGTTCAAGCTCTTGACTTTCCCAGGTGACTTTTAATTTCCTGTTGGCTTCACGGTTGCATAGGTGGAAAGCACACACTTGTGTCTTAGCAGGGTTAGGTTTCAGGCGGTTATCTTTGTAGTAGATGGAGAGATCTTTCAAGGAATTAGTAAGCTGGATTTCAGCTGTTTCAAAGTCTTTTGCTTGTGTTGTTAGGCCAAGGTCATCAACATATATAAAGCTCTTTTTGAGTGGTGGTTGTGGCTGATCGTTAGTAAAGATATTAAATAAGGTCAGTGCAATAACGCTGCCTTGGCGTAAACCATTTTTTGGCCTCCTCCATCTACTTTTCCTGCCCTGAAACTAGAAGCTACAGTTTTCTAGGAGAGTTTTTGTAAAATCATAGTCTCGGGTAATATGGTAGACTTTCTGCAGCATTTTCTTATGTTGCACCATGTCATAGGCTGCTAAGGTCAACAAAAACTGTTCCAGTAATGCAACCTTTCTCATATCCTCGATGTACTCAGTCAGATTAAGAATTTGGGCTGTACAGTTTTTCCCTGGTCTGAAACCTGCTTGTTGTCCAATAAGCTGGGGTTCAATAACAGGTCCTAATCGATTTAGTAGTATCCTCCTGGTCTGAAACCTGCTTCTTGTGCAATAAGCTGGGGTTCAATAAAAGGTCCTAATCGATTTAGTAGTATCCTCTCATATACTTTACATAGCTGACATAGGAGTGAGATAGGCTGGTAGTTCCTGGCATTGGAGGTGTTGTTACAGCCAAGATATTTTGGTGTCACCTTAGATTGAACACTAGCATATAGGAAAAACTGCTTGAACACCAATCACAAGGTAGCTGCACGCAATAACATCTTGTGGAAACTTACTGGCAGCACATGGGGTGCAGACCCAAAATTAATAAGAACATCAACCCTGGCCTTGTCTTACTCAGTTGCCGAGTATGCCTGCCTTGTTTGGCATAAGTCTGCCCATGCAAAACAGGTGAACATAGCATTGAACGAAACATGCAGAATAATCACAGGATGTCTTAAACCTACACCTGTTGATAAACTCTACAAGCTAGCTGGCATTGCCCCCCTCCTGATGTGCAACGGGAAGTTGCTGCTAAATGTGAGAGAAATAAGGTTGAACACTGTGAAAGCCACCCACTACATGGCTACCAGCCTCCTCCAAGTAGACTCAAATCAAGGAAAAGCTTATGAGAACTACCACTGCTCTTGGTGTTCCCCAGCAACAGCAAGGGTATCCCTCTGGGCAGCTAAACCAGGAAATCCCAACTGGATGCCCCCTCGAGGGTCTTCCTCCAGGGGCAAACCAAGAATGGGCAACTTGGAAGTCCCTGAACAGACTCAGAAGTGGAGTGGGCAGATCAAAAGACAACCTGGCAAAATGGCACTACCTAAAAGAATCCCACACATTGTGTGACTGTGGAGCAGAACAGACAACTCCGCATCTGTATGCTTGTCCACTGTGCCCTGCCTCGTGTACCAAGGAACAATTGTTGGAGGCTACAGACAATGCCGTTGCTGTTGCATGTTTTTGGTCAAAAGATATTTAGCTGCCTGCATGCCTTCTATTTTTATCAGTTTTACATTTATTTATGGAATGCTCTTGATACAAAATAAAAAATAAAATAAGAAATGACAACACCAAGGCCTGATATTGGGGAATTAAAAAAATCAAGCTGCAGATGGTGGAATTTGTGGGTGCCAAACAGATGGGTGGCTATCTGTGGAAAGCAATACAGTAATAGAAAATCAGTGACATCAAAAAACATGTTGCTTAACCCAAGAGGGAGGTTACAATTTAAACAGTAGAAGTATGTACACATTGTATAAACAAAAGTTAAAGCTGTGGTTGGTGGAATCTGTCAATGCCGACTCCGTGGATATGGAGGTCCAACTGTAAAGGTTAAAAACAGTGAAAGTCTAAAAACATATCACTTGTTGAAGAAAGTAGACCACAATTCAAACAAGAAGTCATAGACTGGATACAAATATATCCAAGTTGTAAATGATGGAATCCATAAATCCATGGTTTTGGACTGCAAAAGGTAAAACAGCGAAAGTCTAAAATCATCATCTGCCAAAAGAAGGAGATCATAACTAAACAGGGGAAATTATATATTTTCAAGCTGTTGAGGGTGGAATCCATGAATGTCAAATCTGTGGCTATGGACTATAAAATGTAAAATTGTGAATGTTTTAAAATGTCATCTGTCCAAAAAAGGAAACAATTGTGTAATGATCTTCTTGCAATATAACTTCCATATCTCTTGTGCTTGCTGTCAGTTTCCCCTCCCACTTTTGACAAGATGTATTCCAACTTTGGTCAAAGGTTGGCAATGTTTTCGACACCTGATCTCCGCTGAGTCATTTACAGGAAGTGTGCAATCCAGACTTGTACCTGGAAAGTGAAACTAACTTGCACTGCTCTTGTTTTCCTGCAAGAGGAAACCATGGCCGGTGTCTCTGGAGGCTCTGTGCAGGACCTGTGTGAGGAAGCCACTTGCTCGATTTGCCTGGACTATTTCAGGGATCCAGTGACCCTCGCCGAGTGTGGGCACAACTTCTGCCGGACTTGCCTGGGCCACTGCTGGGGGGACTTGGAGAAAGAGGCCTTCTGCCCGCAGTGCAGGGTCACCCTCCGGAGCAGGGATGTCATTCCCAACCGGCCGCTGGCCAACTTTGTGGAAATCACCAAGAAACTCAGCCTCCAGGAGCCCAGGGGGAAAGGGGCCATGGGGGGAATCTGTGGGGAGCACCAGGAGCCCTTCAAGTTCTTCTGCAAGGAGCACCAGAGGCCTATCTGCATGGTCTGCGACCGGGCCAAGGAGCACCGAGAGCACACTGTCATTCCTCTGCAGGAGGCTGCCCAGGAATACCAGGTCAGGATTCACTGGGGAAACACTTCCGCGTTCATTGTTTTTAAGAAATCCATAAGACAGAATTGGAATTAAGCCTCCAAGACACTGTGTTGTCAAAGGCTGGCCGGAATCACTGGGTTACTGTAAGTTTTCTGGGCTGTATGACTGGTCAAAATCTCCCCTGATGTTTCGCCCATGTCTGGCATTTGCCATAGATGTGGGCAAAACATCACAATGCTTCTGGAACATGGCCATACAGCCCAGAAAACTCACAGCAACCCAAGACACTTTTTTTTTGTCTGATGTGGTGGAGTCTTCTTTTCTGGAAGCTTTTAAACAGAGGTTGGATGGTCATCTGTTGGGATCACTTGGATGGTGTATTCCTGCCTGGCAGAGCGCTAAAGACCTTGCAAAATTACAGCTCCAAGGATTCCAAAGTATTGAGCCATAGCATTTAAAGTCATGTAAAATTACATTCATTCTGCAATATACATCTGGCATGGGCAAACTTTGGCCCGCCAGGTGTTTTGGACTTCAATTCCCACAATTCCAAACAACCAGTATCTCCGCCATTGAAAGAATGCAGGTTGACACCACTTGAACTGCTGTGGCTTAATGCTGTGAATTCATGAGAGTTGTAGTTTAGTGAGTAGTCCCCAGTTGAATTGCCATGGCTCCTTGCTACGCTATGGAATCCTGGGAGTTGTCGTTTGGAGATAAACCAGTTTTTGAAGAGTTTGAAAATATTGGGGGGACGGGACGGGGGGGGGGGGACTCTAGCACGTTTTGAATTGCTGGCCAATTTCTACAAGGGATATTATTTTGCTATGCCTTTTATATCATGGGACTTGAGCATCCACACATTTTGGAATCCATGAGGGATCCTGAAATCAAACCTGAGTGGATATCGATGACCCACTGGGAGTTGTAGTTTGTTGAGGCACCAGCACTTTTGGACAGAGGAGGTGAAAGACCTTGTAATTTATTATTTATTTAGACAAGATGGAGGTACTCCTGGTCAGTCTAGAGGCTGAACAGGGTATAGGGTTACAGCCTGTGTTGGACTGGGTTACACGCACAACTTGGGAGTTCTCCTGGATTAATAGTTGAGCCTGGAACTCCAGGTCTCGGCGGTGGCCAGGGGAGCTTTCGCACAATTAAAACTTGTGTGCCAGTTACGCCCATATCTTGAGAAACCACACTTGACCACAGTGGTCCATGCTCTTGTTACATCAAGGATAGATTACTGCAATCCGCTGTATGGGGAGTTGCCTTTGAAGACTGTTCGGAAGCTTCAAGTGGTCCAACGGGTGGCATACAGGGAGCATGCAGCTCCCCTATTACGTCAGCTCCACTGGCTGCCAGTCAGCTACTGAACATAATTCAAAGTGCTGGCTTTAGCCTATAAAGCCCTCTTAGTGCAGCAAGAGAATAAGGAATAGTGAACTGAAAAATGGAACGGTTTTGGATTATGATTTTGGATGACATGATTTTAATAATTAGTTTAAAATTGTGCTGTTTAAATGTTTTGGTTTTAATGTAGATGTTTATTTTATTGTATGTTTATTTTTGGCATCACTTTGCTGCCTAATTTGTAAGGCTGCTCTGAAGCCCCTTTGGGGTTGAGAAAGGTGGGATATAAATGACATAAGTAAGTAAATAAATAAATGAATGGTTCAGCTTCTTTCTCTTTAAAGCAACTAACATGCTTTCTCCTCCTTTTTTTCAGGATCAGATTTGCAATTGTCTGAAGAATTTGAAAGAGGACAAGGAAAAATTTCTGGCATCAAAAGCCTCCATAGACAAGGAAAGCCAAGACCTGCTTGTAAGTGTCCTAAAACTATGATCTAGAAAATGAATAAAAAGCTGTGATAGCAAAGTGCTTGATCTCCAGAAAATTTTTATTAAGAGGCTCTTTTGAGAATGAGCAATTCTCAGTCTTCAAGAGGTGCTTTCTCTTTTAAATACTAATGCAACTTCTGTGAAAAGGTGGCCTTTCTACAGTGTTTTATAGCCTAATTTTGCCAAAAGTGACTACATTCCTTAAAGAAGCACGCTCTTTTCCTGTTTGCAGGATGAAACAGAAGTAGAGAGGGAAAAAGTAATGTCCGCATTCAGAGAGCTGCATCACTTTCTCGAAGACCAGGAGAAGCGTTTGCTGGTCCAGATGGAAGAGATAGAGAAAGAAATTATAAGAAAAAGGGAGGAACATCTGGCCAGGTTTTCCAGAGAAATCTCATTCCTTGGGAGTCTCATCCAAGAGGTGGAGGAGAAACGTCATCAGGAGGCCAGTGTATTCCTGCAGGTAAGATGGCAAGAGACTTCATCCAGCCACCTCTCAGGTGAAAAGGTGATTGTCAATCACCTTGTGACTTTCTCTTCCAAATGGGAAGCAAAGGATCTCAGCTCTAGTTTCTTACAGCTTGATCACTGTGAAGTCTTGGTGCTGCCTTTTCCTCTCCTTTGCTTTAGTTCCCCCTGTTTATAGGCTGGAATCCTAGGCCAAGCAATCCAAAACAGGCATTCTTAGCACCTGCTGCTGCATTTAGCAGTATTATTATACCAACACTCCAAAGGACAACAGAAGCTTTTGGCCAGCCTAAGCTTCACAGGAGAGAAGATTAAGACAGTTTGTAAGCAACAACTTATAACCCATCGCTTTGCATCAGAGGCAGAAAATCCCAAAAAAGATTATTACAACCAGGAAATTCTCCTTTTCTACTGTATTGTTTTAAGTTATCTTATAATAGTCCTGGGTGGAGTTAACCCTTTATTCATCTTGTTTCAGTAAACTCTTTTGGTTATCTTTTCACCTTGCCTCAAAGTGCCTCTGTCTGCTAAGATTCTTAATCTTAACAGAAGGTATCAGATAGCCCCCAAAAATATAGTTTTCCCAAAGGCTCAAGCCATCACAATCACTTACTTGAAGATGACCATAGAGGCATGCTGGAGGGCTCAGATATTACTAGAGAGGTGTTCTCTTAGGTTCAAAAACGTGTTTATAATTTGTTTCTTTTGTTAACTGCTATCAAGTCAACTCCAACTTATGTTGATCCTTTGATTTGGAGACCTCCAAACTCCCTGGCCACCAACTGCCCTGCTCAGGTCTTCCTTAGTAGTATCTATCCACTTCTAGCATGGTCTCTGTTTTCCCCCCCAGATTGTTTCCCACTTTATCAAGCATTGAGTCACATTGTCACAGTACAGGTCCAAGTTACAGCAGCCAACTTGCCTTCTACAACTACAAACAACAACAAAACTTTATTTATATACCGCTCTATCTCCCTGAGGAGACTCAGAGTGGTTTCCAAGTAACATCATCAATACATACAAAGTAAACAACATAAACATAAAATTAACAAGAAATATAAGCATAAAAATCACAATAGCACATATATATTTAAAATAATCCTGCCTGTTCAAGGCCATTTAAAAGGCTGGGCTGAGGCTAGTGCAATTTGTAGGGGGCCCTGGAAATTAGGTGCAATTTTTTTTTTTGTTGTGTCAGGAGCGACTTGAGAAACTGCAAGTTGTTTCTGGTGTGAGAGAATAGGCCGTCTGCAAGGACGTTGCCCAGGGGACACCCAGATGATTTGATGTTTTTATCATCCTTGTGGGAGGCTTCTCTCGTCCCCGCATGAGGAGCTGGAATTGATAGAGGGAGCTCATCCACCTCTCCCCGGATTCGAACCTGCGACCTGTCGGTCTTCAGTCCTGCCGGCATTAGGTGCAATGCTATAGCAGGCAACAACAATAATAGGTACAGTGTATGGCTGTTCATTTCTGGGGCCTAATAGGAGGAAGTGACCTGGGTAATTAGTAGAAAAAGATGTGGCCACATTCAACAGTATCTGGGGCTGAGATAGAACTAGTTGTTCTCAAAAGCTTGTTTAAACCACCAGGTCTTCAAGCTGTTACGAAAGGAGGGGAGGTATGGGGTCTGTCTTACTTCTTTAGGAAGGGCATTCCAGAGGCGGGGGGCCACCACTGAGAAGGCCCTCTCTCCTGTCCCCACCAACTGTGCTTGTGACGTGACGGTGGTGGGAGCGAAAGGAGGGCCTCCCCGGAAGATTTTGTAGTTCGCGCCGGTTCATAAAGGGAGATGCGATCGCAAAGATAGGCGGGTCCAGAACCGTTTAGGGCTTTATAGGTCATAACCTGCACCTTGAATTTGGCCCGACAACTTATTGGCAGCCAGTGAAGCTTCTAGGGAAGGCATCTGTTTGATTTGCTTTTATCTCTCTTTCTAGCTGTCCATTGTATTCTAAGAACTCTTCAGCACTGCATTTCAATTCTATTCAATTTCTTCAGTGTGGCTTTTTTTTACCCTTAAGCTTTCACAATCATACATGCCAAAGCCAGAAACATTCAATTTTGCTTGCTAACTAACTGTCTCATAAAGGTTTCCTACACAATATATTAAGGCAATCACTTTGATGTGTTCCCATCCATTCATCCTCAAGCTTAAGGATGCTGGCATCATCTGAATATCTTCAGACTGTGACAAGTACTGAACTCTCTTCTTTCTTTTTCTCCCCTCCTAGGATATTGGAAGGATCTTGAAGAAGTAAGTAGAGCATTTACATCATTTGGGCAATGTGATTTTAATAAGTGTTTTTAAGGTTTGCTATGTTTTTAATTATTATTTTAATGCATTTGTTTTTATGAAAGTACTAGCCGTCCCCTGCCAAACGTTGGTGTGGCCCGGTCTGTGTATATGTGTTTTATGTGTGTATATGTGTATATATGTGGTTTTGCGCATGCGTTGTAATGTATTTTTTAAATGGCTTTTAAAGTCTCTTCCGCTGTGTTTTTCAGTGTTTTTATGAGTGATGTTCACTTGTTGGCCTGATAGGTGTCTTGTGTTCAAATTTGGTGTCAATTCGCCCAGTGGTTTTTGAGTTCTGTTAATCTCACAAATGAACATTACATTTTTATTTATATAGATATTAACATGGCATTGAATCGTTGGCTATGTATGTATGCCGCCTTGAGTCCCCTATGGGGTTGAGAAAGGCAGGGTATAAATAGGGTAAATAAATAAATAATGATGAATACATTGTCAGAGTGCGATAGAAGCTTTGAAGCTTAGAAAAATAGACACTTTGAGATTTCAGTAAAAGCAAATGTATAGCTTTACTGAGTAGAGCAAATATACAGCAAACACTCGAATTGACACACAACCAAAAAAGAACAGAAACAAGACAAAAGCACTGAAGTAAGAAGGACAAACGAAATCTTATCTCTGGATCCTCCCTACGCATTCCAGGCACACTCAGGGTCACAACTTTACAGTTCATTAGAGGCTTGACTGATTAACCCTTTCAGAGTCAATACACTCTCTGCTAATGCAATCAGGTTACATTCACAGGCATTGCACAAAATTACATGTAAACATTCACATTACACTAATCTTACATTAACATACATTTCCCTTTATGGCACCAAAGAAATCTTGCCAAAGAAACCCCAATGCTAGAGGTGCTGTAGGTTAGAAACAACTTGAAGGCATACAACTACAACAACAACCCCACTGTACCCATGTCCTCTCTTTGAAAACAAGCACTCTGCTTTTCCTATCTTCCACAGGGACCTGAAAACTTGGTGGTCCTAGCAGGCCTTTGGAAATGATTAGCCTGAGGCCCTTCCCTGGCCATCAGCCAGGACCCTGCCCTAAACTTTATCAATTTCCCCGGTCCCCTATGCTACTTCATTTCACTAGCCCTTGCCCAGCCCTCTCATAGCTGACTAGGTCCATTTTGCAATTCCTGGCCATTGGTATTTAAATTCCTGTTTGATGGAGAAATACTGTTTGATGGAGAAATGTTTTAAATGTCATGCGGCGGCAATCAATCAATCAATCAATCAATACCAAGGGGATTTTGGCCTGCATAAATAGGACTCTAGTGTCTAGATCCAGGGAAGCCATGCAACCACTCTATTCTGCCTGGGTCAGACCATACCTGGAATCACACTGTGTTCAATTCTCGGCACCACAAATGAAGGGAGATGTTGACAAGTTGGAATGTGTCCAGAGGAAGACGACTAAAATGATCAAGGGTCTGGAGAACAAGCCCTATGAGGAGCGGTTGAAAGAGCTGGGCTGAGAAGGCTGAAAGGAGACATGATGAGGGCCRTATATAAATATGTGAAGGGAAGTCAWAGGGAGGAGGGAGCAAGCTTGTTTTCTGCTTCCCTGGAGACTAGGACACAGAACAATGGCTTCAAACTATAAGAAAGGAGATTCCACCTGAGCATGAGAGCCGTTCAGCAGTGGAACTCTCTGCCCTGGAGTGTGGTGGAGSKTYTWWAAGCTTTGGAGCTTTTAAACAGATGCTGGATGCCATYTGCTGGGGGTGCTTTAAATGCAATTTTCCTGCTTCTTGGCAGGGGGTTGGACTGGATGGCCCATGAGATCTCTTCCAACTCTTTGATTCTATGATTGCTTTTTATAGGGTTTACATTTATGTTTTATAATGTCTATTTTGTACGGTTTTTGTGGCATTCAGCAATTGTTTTGCCTATGTTGGAAACCACCCTGAGCCCTCTCTGGGAGATAGAGCTGCATACAAATAAAGTTTTATTATTATATTATTATCTTGGCTCGGTGACTTTGAGCAAATGCATGGTAACAATTTTACCTTGCATGCCTTTGAAAAAGTGTACTGTTAGAATGATCAAAATAGAGACTGCATGGGACGTGTGGATATTGTCAAAGGCACCCATTTGCTGTCTCATCTCACTGGGAATATCTGCAATCTTACTTAGGTGATCCCTTGTTGTCTGAGTAAGACTGTCCTCCAAGTGTGGTGTCCTGGCGGTGGGTCCGTAGGTGGCTATGGAGCCCTATTCTTAACCCGCATGTTCTCCTGCAGTGTGGACATCGGTTTCCGGGTGGAAGGCGGGCCTGGTTGGGGTTGGCTTGATGCACCTTCCTCCTGGCATGTTTCTCTCTTTCGCTCTCCATTCACGCCTCTTCAAATTCTACAGCACTGCTGGTCACAGCTGACCACCAGCTGGAGCGCTCAAGGGCCAGGGCTTCCCAGTTCTCAGTGTCTATATCACAGTTTTTAAGGTTAGCTTTGAGCCCATCTTTAAATCTCTTTTCCTGTCCACCAACAGAACTGAGAAGAGACGGACATTTTGTAGTGTTGTGTTCATTCCGTCTGCCATGAAATTGAAGATCTCAGATATGCGCGATACGAATCCCTTTCTAGAGGATGTGCTGAAGAAATGTAAAGGTAAGGAAAGAGATCTGCAAGCATTTTACCTGGGCTCTCTCATTGTCCTTTTGGGAGCTAAATATGAAGCTAGGGTGTTTCGAAGAAGAAGGTTTCAAGCATAATGGGGGAAATGGCATTTTGCGACTGTTGTGTTTTTTCCTCCTTTTCAGACCTCTTTCTAGAAAGGAAAAGGATGGAAGAAGTAGCAGGAAACATGGCAGAGTTTCAGTCTGAAAGCACTGGCATCAGGGCCCATCCTCAATTTCCAAGAAGTTGGGAAGGTATGTACACAATTAAATCATCATGTCTGGACCAGGGCAAGGGAGGACTTCATTCTTTCCCATGAGCACTTTTCTCAGTTTTTTGGGAAAAGATATTTGAGAAGGTGTGCTCTGAAACAGGTTTTCCCCACTGGATGGGTATTTAGGTGCGGTTTTGGAATCTCAAGTGATCAGTCACTACAGAGTGAGTCGACATTGCCTGGTAAATCCATGGCCGCTGTAAAGCAGAAATGTGAAGCTGAGATGTTCCCAATTGGCTCTAGGGATAGCCACACACACACTTCTGAACTCTTTGTGGTGCCATATTGGCATTCACACAGTATAGTCCAGTGGTTCTCAGCCTTCCTAATGCTATGGCCCTTTAATACATTTCTTCATGTTGTGGTGACCCCCAACCAGGCCTGTAGCGAGGGGGGGGGGCTTTAAGGGGTTCAACCCCCCCCCCCCGAAATGTTTCAGATTTTTTTTAAAAAAAACCTGGTTTACTCATGAATTTTAACTGGTTAACCAAATCCCCATGCTAAGTCTATGAGATGCAAAAAATTAAGAGTCCCTCCAGAACTGCAAGCACTATCTCAAGCAAATATTGACAATTTATTCACACTGTCATTACTTGCAGCAATAGCCGATGTAGTGAAGCAACCAAGTTGGGGGGGGGGGTTGAATGCTCTCATTAAAGGTGATGGTACTCACCTTTAAGGCCTTGCATGGTCTGGGGCCGATGTACCTGAGGGACTGCCTCACCCCCTACCAACCCCAGAGATCCCTCTGTTCTGAGGACCAAGATTTGTTGGAAATTCCCAATGTCAAGACCTTGCGTCTAACAGCAACCAGACGCAGAGCCTTTACAGCAGTGGCACCATCACTCTGGAATACTCTGCCACCTGAAGTCCGTGCCTTGAGGGACTTATCAGCTTTCCGCAGGGCATGTAAGACATACCTGTTTCGACAGGCCTTTGAGCTTTGATATTGCTGTTTTTAAATTGTTTTTTAAATTGTGTTAGATTTTAGCCTGTTCTTGTAAGCCGCTCCGAGCCCCAGGGGAGTGGCGGCATATAAGTTTGAATAATAAATAAATAAATAAATTTAGGAGGCCAGACTTGGTGGAGGTGACAGGGGCAGAGCTGCAGGCTATTGAAGGCTGCTCTGCCCCTTGCTGTGTTCTTTGCTTCAGCGTGAGTTAGGAGGCAGGTTTCAACTCCCCCCCCAGCGACACCCCTCCCCCCGAAAATTTCAACCCCTCCCGAATTTTTTTTCTGGCTACGGCCCTGCCCCCAACCACCACAATACTTTCGTTGCTACTTCATAACTGGAATTTTGCTACTGTTATGAATTGTAATGTAAATATCTGATATGCAGAATGTATTTTCATTCACTGGAACACATTTCATTCACTGGAATACCTGATGCACCCAAATTTGAATAGTGGTGGGGTGGGGGTGGGGATTTGTGTTGTCATTTAGGTGTTGTAGTTGCTGGGATTTATAGTTCACTTATAATCAAAGAGCATTCTGAACTCCACCAACGATGGAATTGAACCAAACTCCCATGACCAACAGAAAATACTGGAAGGGCTTGATGGGCATTGACCTTGTGTGAGTTGTAGTTCACCTACATCCAGAGAGCACTGTGGACTCAAACAATGATGGATCTGGCCAAAACTTGCCACAAATATCAATATGCCCAAATGTGAACACTGGTGGAGTTTGGGGAAAATAGACTTGACATTTGGGAGTTGTAGTTGTTGGATTTATAGTTCACCTACAATCAAAGAGCATTCTGAACCACCAATGATAGAATTGGGCCAAACTTCCCACACAGACCCATGACCAATAGAAAATACTGGGTTTTCTGATAGTCTTTGGTGACCCCTCTGGCACCCCCCTCGTGATCCCCCCAGGGTTGTGAAACGCTGGTCTAGTCAGTCTGAGACTTCATGAGCCCTGCTGGGTTGTCTCCTCACTTTCTGTTTCTCCATCTTCAGACCTTCCACACAGCCTTATACCCAGAATATCAAGACAGAAAATCCCACAATATCTGCTTTGAACTGGGTTATCTGAGTCTGTACTGCCATATATTCTAGTTCAAAGCAGATAATGTGGGATCTTATTCAGCTGTGTGGAAGGGGCCACAGAGTTTCACATCATCTCCCCATTCTGACATCAGTAGAGACCCAGAAGCAGGAGGGAGCTGCTCCTGCTTGTACATGCATTTCTGCTGACGTCAGAATGGGTTGCTTGTAATGGCCAAGAGGCTGCATAGTGCTCTGTAGCTGGCTGAGATCAATTATGGTGGTGGGCAACTTCTTTTCCTTGTACTGAGTGCAGGGAAAGTTTGACAATGGTGGTGTCTCATTTGGAGAACAGATTGTCAGGATCAGACCAGATCCAATTCCTAGATAGATAACACGTTCCATAAATTCTCTGGTCGTACCAGTTTACTTCGTTATGAGCTGACATTTCTGTTTCAAAATTTGTTAGATTGGTCGGGTCGGGTGCTTATATTTTATACATCTATTCTTTTCAGATGTCCTCTTATCTGGACCTCCACCAAAGAAAGGTAAATTTACAAAGCAAGACTTCATCTTCATCAGGAGTTGGGAACTGGGCAGAAACTTGATTGCCTGTGTTTTTGTAAGTAGGGTGATATAAGAGGGTTCTAAATAACTAGCACCAAGGTGCTGATCCTAGTTGGTGTAGATTTGGGTCATGGATTGGTTCTGAAATAACAATCCAGGTTATGGGTGGAGCAGAACACAGTTCTCTGCTCCTATGTAACTTCCTTATTTCTAGTCACGAGTGTTTTCCAAGGATGCATCTACACTGTAGAATTAATTCAATTTGACAACACTTTAATTGCCATGGCTCAATGCTATAAAATCCCAGGAATTGTAGTTTGGTGAGGTACCAGTAATTTTTTTTGGTTGAAAAGGCCGAAGTCCTTCTAAAACTACAATTCCCATGATATCATAGCATTGAAGAGCTCACTTCCATCCCTGAGACAGTATATCCATTGTTTTTTTAGTTAAGAAGCTCTTTCTATATGCTTAACTATGTCTGTTTAATTATTAATTCTATTCCTATGAACCAGCTAGGACATTAAGATCATCTGGGGAGGCCCTGCTCTCGGTCCCGTCGGCATCACAAGCACGCCTGGTGGGGATGAGAGATAGGGCCTTCTCAGTGGTGGCCCCTCGATTGTGGAACGCCCTTCCTACAGATATCAGATCGGCCCCCTCCTTATTGGCATTTCGGAGGAAAGTGAAGACCTGGTTGTTCGAACAGGCATTTGACTAAGCAGTGTAATTGATTACAGGAAAACGGAATAATGGATGATGAGATTGGATTCTGATCCTAGGGATGAGACGCGAATGATTTGTCATGTTGATGTTGAATTGTTGTTATGCTATTGTTTTTAAATGTTCCAATGGTTTTGTAATGTGTGCATTGAAATTGCTACTGTTAACCGCTTTGAGTCGCCTAAGGGCTGAGAAAAGCGGTATATAAATGAAGTAAATACATAATAAATAAATAATTTATAATGATATTATTTTGTACTGTTTGATTTATGTGGTTGCCTTCCTATCAAGGCATTGAATGTTTACCTTTCTTTTTTGTCTGGAAGCAATCCTGAATCCCTTTGGAGAGATAGGGTGGCTTATTATCATTATCATCATCATTATTATTAATAATAATAATAAATGGAATGTTTTCTTGTAATGGGAATCAGGAAAACAGAGTTCATCTCATCATCTACTTGACATCTTTTCAGTTGTTTAAAGATCACATTCATTTACACTGGCTAGTAAATCCGTAACCAGTCCAAGTCCACTGCACTGACGAGTTAAAGTCTACATGGCCCAGCCAGACTAAGATTGCAATCATCTTCTTCCTTTCCATATTTCTGTCACTGCTTCCAAACCAGTCTGCTGTCCACACGGGGTGTCACCATCATCACATTTTCCCTGCTGTTATTGCTACAAGGAAAGGGGGAAAGAGCATGCCCATATTTTTGCCTCTCTCAGCCAGCCATAGAGCTTTGTGTGACTCCTGGCCATCAGAGGTGCCCTGTTCCAACATCACCAGAGGCATTTGTAAGACCAGGAAGAAGGAGAGAGTTGATCTTCCCACCTTCTTCTTGGTGGCATGGGCATCTTTGTTGGATAGCCAATTCAGGACCCAAATCTCAGCAGCTATATAAAAGCAGTGATGGCAGTGACATGGTCACAAGTGGTTCCCCTGATATTGGTGATGGTGCTCCATGTGGACAGTAGTCCCAACCAAATCAGACTTGATCCAGCTGTCCCAAAGGCATGGGATAGTCCAGAAATTTAAGCACATTTCAAAGCATTCCTCAAAAGCAGGGCAAAAACAGATCTACGCGCCATATCGGTTGAGAAACATTGTGAAAACAGCCAGAATCCAAATAATGGTGAATCTGGGTTTTAATGCTCAGGTAAATAAACCTATTGTTTTCTCTTCTCCAAGGCAAACATACCCAAAATATAATGTGTAGTTTACTGGGAAGGTGCAGCAATTCGGGACTGATTGGAAAAGGGTTCATCCCGATCAATCCTGAACCATTACCCATGAAAACCCTCCTGATTGGTTAGAGGAACAAGATTTTGGGGGAAGGAGTTGTTGAAGTTCAGGACATTGATACTCCAGTTGATTCTGCTTATCTTTTGTTTCCTTTTTTTCTCCTTGCAAATCTCTACAGTGGATGTAACTCTGGATCCAGACACAGCTTTCCCTCGACTCATCTTGTCCGAAGACCTTAAAAGTGTAAGATGGGACAAGAAGTATCAAGACCTGCCGGAGAATCCTGGCAGATTTAACCTGTCTTCCTTTGTGTTGGGCCGTGAGGAATTCTCAGCAGGCAGATTTTTCTGGGACGTTTCTGTAGGAAGTGAGGAGCGTTGGGCTGTGGGAGTTGCCAGAAAGTCTTTAAGGAGAAAAGGCCCTGTGATTATTAGTCCTGAAAGCGGGATATGCGCAGTAGAAAAGTCAGAAGGTGAGTATAAGGCCTGCATCCCACCTCAGAATCCTCTCCTCAACCTGAATGAGAAGCTGAGGAAGATCCGAGTGTTTCTGAGCTGCGGGGAAAACCAAGTTGCCTTTTATAATGCGGACACAGAAGACTTTCTCTATGGGTTCGATGAAGTGTGTTTCGGAGGAGAGCCCATTCTGCCCTTCTTTCGGGTGTTCCTAGAAGGCCACCTCAGAATCTCTCCTTAAGGAAGACAAGTTGGCATCATGGACCTACATCTCCAAAGCAAGTTGATTAAGCTAAAAGCCAAGGATTTGTTGGACAAGTTCACCTTTTCCCTGTAAGGAATTAGTATTTCCCAGTGTGATATGAAAAATAAAACAGTTAGGAATTAGTGTTCATTTAGTAAAGCAGCCAGCCAAGTGTGCCTCAGTTTCTCTATGGTGCTTTCCTGAGTTCTTTTGTGACTCCACAAACAAACAAGGTTTGCAGTTGTAGGTCACAAATTTAAGAGTTTACAAATGCCTTTGTATTTATATGTGTATGGGGAACCTCCATTATAATTAATTAATGAAAGGATTAGATACAGTCTTCCCTTTTAACTCATTGCTTTTTGATGGGGCTGGATATTCAAGGAGGATCAGAGAAAGAGAGGACAGAAGAGAGGGTAGACTAAGGCCCCATCTACACTGATAATTTAATACAGTTTCAAACTGATAATGAAAAAAGTGGCTTCTCTGTGCAGATAATTAATACATTCCCCCAAATGAATATCTCTAAAAATGGGATTCATGTTGGAATCACAGGTGCTTTTACATATATGTGTGTGCATACACAAATACACACATACATATGCATATAGACAGTCTCCAAGTTGCAAGCATCTGACTTACACATGACTCATAGTTACAAGCAGAGCTGTGACAACAGAAAGTAAGAGTAATCTACCCCTCAGAAGGGGAATTCATTCCTGAAAGAGTTACTATCTTGGGGGAAAGGACGCTGAAGCTTTCTCACCATTCCTTGCTTCCACAATAAGTCAAATTTTTCAAAATCCAATTATTACAGTATTTGAAAGTGAGGTCAAGTTTTCTGAACAGGGGCACAGACAGCAAAACAAACACAGCAAGGGTGTTAACCCTTCCCTATGCTTTCAAAGCTAAATATATTTTAGTGGATTTACACTTTAAAAAATATACACACATTGCATGCAGATCCTGTTATGTTCATAACTTGGGGACTACCTATGTTGTAGTAGAGTCTGTTGGCAACGCTGCAACTGGTAGTAAGTGTGCTGGAAGAGGGGAGAGAAGTACTTAGGAGTTAGATTAGGAGCAACAGACGAGGAGGATCTGGGAGACACTTGTGTCACCCATGGATGAAGATTCCTTCGAGGGATTTTCTGTGAGTGAAATGAGTGAGGAGGAGGAAGGAGACACAGTGGTTGGGAATAGGGGAACTAAGAGGGTTACTTGGGAGCAGGAATCAGATGAGGAGCGACAGAGAAAGAAGATTCGGGATATACTGCTCTCACAGAAGAGGAGGATTTCATGGGTTTCTCTGGGAATGATGGGTCTGGAAGTGATGGGGATAAGGATGAATCACTGGATTGGACTAAAGTGCAAGAGGTTCAGGATGTGTGTACTGAACCAACGTCTAGTGACACGTTTGCGGGGTTTTCTGGTGGTGGGAATTGGCAATCGGGAGATACTGGGGATTCGTGGAAAGAACTAAGACTTGACAAGAGATGGAAGAGTTGGAGAAATGGGCGTCGGCATTCAGGTGAAGAAGCTAAGCCAGCTGTAGGTGATGATGATGGGGTGGAAGGTAGCTCATCATCGGGTGATGAGTTGTAAGATAAAAGTAGGCACTGAAATGGTAGAACTTTGCAGTAGGCAAAGTGTTGGTTTTGTGCCTTGGGTCTTGTCGCTGCCGCTTTCATGTTGGGCTTGGGTCCTGGATCTGCAGGTTGCTGTTTGCCTTCGTGTTACAACCCGGCTTGGATTCTCGTAAGTGCGTATTTCCCCTTTCCTTGACTTTGGACTGCTTTTGATGATGACGCTGCCTCCTGGATTTTGGAACCTCGCAACTTTGGACTCGGCTTTCTTTGACTTCATTTGACCACGGTTCTTTCTTCACAGCTCTTTGTTTGATCGTCCTTCATTTGCTGTGTGATTCTGTGAAACTTTGGATGTGCTGCAGTTTAATCCGGATCTTTTCCCTACATAATCCGGATTATTGCTTTAGTTTGCTTTTCAAGCTAGAAACTGCTGCTACTTTTGAATTTTGACCAGAGACACTGAAGCAAGTGTCTCTGAGTCTCTTTTGCTTTGTGCTAATAAACTATTCTTTTGGACATACTCCTGAGTCTGGCTCTTTAAGGCGTCTGGGTTCTGACAACCTGCATATATGTATGCATATGTCCTTTGTTAATCTCTATTTTGTGTATTTTAATATGTATTTTATAGAAATATGTTTTAATATGTGGGTGTATCTGTAGTGTTTTTGCAATGTTTATGTGTTTATAATTTGAAAAAAAAACATGAATGAATTCCTATGCACACTGCACATATCTTATTTGTAGTGTAAAAAACACTTTTAAAACAATACAATAATTAAAATTAAGAACAATTTTAACAAATATAAACTTATTTGTATTTCAATGGGAAGTGTGGGCCTGCTTTTGGCTGATAAGATAGGATTGTTGTTGTTATGCTTTCAAGTAGTTTCAGACTTAGGTTGACCCTGAGTGAGGGCCGGGTAAATTACCTTGGAGGGCCGTATCCGGGCCCCGGGCCATAGTTTGAGGACCCCTGGTCTACACTGTGCAATTAATGATATTGGATRTCACTTTAGCAGCTGTGTCTCAATGCTAAAGAATCGTAGGAGTGTGTTTTTGTGTGAATTCAATAATTYCCTTATTTCTTTAATTAATAGAGTCAGAAGAGACCTCATGGGCCATCCAGTCCTACCCCTTGCCAAGAAGCAGGAAAATCTCATTCAAAGCACCCCTGACAGGTAGCCATCCAGTCTCTGCTTAAAAGCCTCCAAAGAAGGAGCATCCYCCACACTCCAGGGCAGAGAGTTCCACTGCTGAACAGCTCTCACAGTTAGGAAGTTCTTCCTAATGTTCAGGTGGAATTTCCTTTCCTGTAGTTTGAAGACATTGTTCTGCATCCTAGCTTCCAGGGCAGCAGAAAACAAGCCTGCTCCCTCCTCACTTTGACTTCCCCTCACATATTTATACATAGCTATCATCATGTCTCTTCTCAGTCTTCTTTTCTACAGGCTAAACATGTCCAGCTCTTTAAGCCACTCTTCATAGGGCTTGTTCTCCAGACACTTGATCATTTTAGTCACTCTTCTGGATACATTTCAGCTTAGAATCATAGAATCAAAGAGTTGGAAGAGACCTCATGGGCCATCCAGTCCAATCCCCTGCCAAGAAGCAGGAATATTGCATTCAAATCACCCCTGACAGATGGCCATCCAGCCTCTGTCAGGGGCAATTTGAATGCAATATTCCTGCTTCTTGGCAGGGGGTTGGACTGGATGGCCCATGAGGTCTCTTCCAACTCTTTGTCAACATCTCTCTTCAATTGTGGTGCCCAGAACTGGATATAGTATTTCAGGTGTGGTCTGACTCAGGCAGAATAGAGGGATAGTATTTATTTAGGATATCTTCAAAGGAACCTTCATGGCTTTTTGAGGGGGAGAGGGCATTATAGTCTGAATGAAATGCAGCTGACCGATTTATGACATGTACAAATAAAAAACTGGGAGAGTATGAAAGGTCCTTCCTTAAACTTATCCAGAGGCCTTTTTCCAGCCCTTCCCTTTGCAGAGGGCTGGTTCCTTGCCAGCAGAGCTGAGTCAGCCGTAGGGAGGGGAAACTTTCAGCTTTAGACAGAGAAGGAAAAACTGCACTTTCATTTCTATCTTTCTCTGGAGCCATGGCGGCTGCAGAGTGTTCCTTCCAGGACCTTTGCGAGGAAGCCACCTGTGCCATCTGCCTGGACTATTTTACCCAGCCTGTCACCACTGACTGTGGGCACAGCTTTTGCCAGACTTGCCTGGAAGCCTCCTGGGAAAGAGAGGGGGCAACAGCGACAGAGGCCTCCTGCCCACAGTGCCGAGGCCAGGTCCAGCGCACAACCCTTAGGCCAAACTGGCAGCTGGCAAACTTGGTCAAAATCGTAAAGAAGCTGAGCAATCAGGAGGGCAAGGGAGAGAAAGCAAAAGGGGAGATCTGTGAGAAGCACCAGGAGCCCCTGAAGCTCTTCTGCAAAGATGATCGGAACCTCATCTGCGTGGTGTGCGACAGATCCAAAGAGCACCGGACCCATGATGTAGTCCCTCTGGAGGAGGCTGCCCAGGAGTTCCAAGTGAGGAATCACTCTGGATCTTTTTTAATGATTTTTTAAAAAAAATGTATATACATACATTCACACATATGTGCATATTTACACACATATACTCAGAGACAAGTATGTACATACAAATATCCATGTATACATTGATAAATACATATATGCATAAAAGCATAAAACATATATGCACACTACATGCAAAAATGCACGCACGTATAATACTTGTACACTTACATACTGTATTTCTTAAATTCTCAGACACACTCCCCCCCCCCCCCCCCCCCCCCCCCCCGCCCGCCACTTATAAACTCCCCTAAAAACAGGATGTGGCTTACAATTGTGGGTGCTTTTATATATTTTTGTTGGTATTATTGAAATTAGTGTACGTCTTACAATGGCATCTTAGAATCAGTGAAATATAGTACAGTATTCCCTCACTTATTGCAGGTGTTCCGTTCCAGGACCACCCGCGATAAGTGAAAATCTGGAATTGAGTGGGTGGAGTGCCCCTACTTCGTGGTGGCCTCCTCCTCACCACCTCCGCTGCTCCCTGCCTTGGAGGTCCCTTCCTCGCCAGGCTGAGTACCCAAGCTTGTCGAGGAAGGAGCAGGGAGCAGTGGAGAGACAAAGAGGAAGACGCTGCTGTGGCCCTCTTTGGCGGTGGCCTCCTCCTCCTTGCCACCTCTGCTGCTCCCCGCTTCAGAGGTCCTTTCCTTGCCCTTGGGCGCCCAGCCTGACGAGGAAGGAATGGGGAGCAGCTCTACAGTGTTCGCTTGCTGCTCCCCACAAAACAGTGAGTCTACAATAAGCGAACCGTGAAGTAGCGAGGGAACACTATATGCACAAATACATGCATATATATATGCATACATGTAGTTATGCATGTCTATATATAGAGGTATATATGCATGCATGTAGTTATGCATGTCTTTACTTTTATTTACTTAGGCAATCCCATGTAGTCCAAGGATGATGGTCCTCCAAGTTCAGTGTCCTGGGGGTGGGTTCGTAGGTGGCTGTGGAGCCCTGTTCTTGACCAGCATCTTCTCCCAGTGAGGGCATTGGTTTCCAGGTGGGAGGTGGTCTCACACACACATACATGCATAAATATGTACAAGCACAGATGTGATGTGCTTGTTGCGACGTGCCTCTCCATACTGGAAAAGAGGCTGAAGTGTCCTACCAGGGGGAAATTCCTCAATGTGATGAGGTCAATTGCCTGAGTTCACTCCTTTCAGGACACTTCTGCCCCTTTTCAACCATGGAGGACTATGCATGATTGCCAGAAGTAGTTTAACTCATGAGATGAGCTCAGTGTCTCTCTATGCTTGAAAAGAAGCTGAAGTGTCCTGCGACTGGGAAATTGCACTCCCACTGCAAATATGGAGCAGAAAGTAGAAAGTATGGAGCAGAAAGTAAGTATATTGTTCAGGTTCTTTCTCTGATCTAAAACCTGTCTGTTTCTTTTCTCTTCAGCACCAAATCTGCAGCCATCTGGAGACCCTGAAGAAGGAGAGAAAAGATATTCTGACCACTAAAGCAGATGCAGAAAAGGAATGCGAAGGGCTGCTTGTATGTGGTTCACTATTTACAAGAAAATGAAAAATTCCTTTATTCCAAAATTATTATTATTATTATTATTATTATTATTATTATTATTATTAAACTTTATTTGTACCCCGCTAGCATCTCCCGAAGGACTTACATAGGCCAAGGCCTCAAAACACAACACAACAATACAACACCTAAAGCAAATTAAAAACAGTTAAAGCAATATTAACAACAAGCAATAAACAATACATCAAGACACTATAAAACTGGGCTGGGCCAGAGTAATGGGTACAAGATTAAAAGTGCTGATGTGGCAGGAGGTATGAAGGATTATAAGGTAAGTGCAGTGTGCGGCGTGCAGCAATCTTAGTTCTAATAAAGTGCTTCTGGGACTTGGTACTGGAGATTCCTAATCTGGGAAGGCACATCAGAACAGCCAGGTCTTCAAGTTCTTTCTAAAGACTGCCAATGTAGGGGCCTTCCTAAAATTGGTTTCTAGAAAAATGGTAGAGGTTGAGTATCCTTTATCCAAAATGTTAGGTACCAGAGTAGTTTCAGATTTTGGATATATTTGAATTCTGTATTTGCATGTATGTACATATTGAGATAATTGTTAAGAGCTGAGACTCACTTCCTCGCAGTCTGATGGAAACTTTTAAACAGAGTCTGGATGGCCATCTGTCAGGAGTACTTTGATTGTGCTTTTCCTGCATGGCAGAAATGGGTTGGACTAGATGACTCATGTGGTCTCTTCGAGCTGTATGATTCTGTGATTTTATCTTGTTGATGGAACCTAAGTTAAACACGGAATTAATTTCAGTTTCACAATAGAGAGATCTATATGTGATAATGCATACATGTATAACACATGCATACAGACATATTCACTCACATACACACAGAGAAACATGGAAAATGTAGCCTGAAGCTAATGTTACATACAGCATTTAAATAATTTTGTGCGTGAAACAAAGTATTTGTGTCTTGAACCATCAGAAAGCAAAGGGTAACTATGCCAGCCACTCATGTTGATAATTTCAGATTTTGGCAAATTTTGGATATTGGAATTCTGGATAAGGTCCTTATGCTGAAATGGAGAATCTTTCAAAAAGTCACATTACTCTGGGTTGTTGTGTGTCTTTTGGGCTGTATGGCCCGATGCATTTTCTCCTGACGTTTCGCCTGCATCTATGGCAGGCATCCCCAGAGGTTGTGAGGTGTGTTGGAAACTAAGAAAAAGGGGTTTATATATCTTTGGAATGTCCAGGGTGTGGGAAAGAACTCTTGTCTGTTTGTGGTAGGCGTGAATGTTTCAATTGGTCATGTTGATTAGCATTTAATGGCCTGGCAATTTCAGGTGTGCCTTCTTACTGTCTGGGGGAATCCTTTGTTGAGAGATGATTAGCTGTCCCCGATTGTTACTTGTCTGGAGTTCTCCGGTTTTTGAGTGTTCTTTATTTACTGTCCTGATTTTAGAGTTTTTTTAATCCTGGTAGCCAGATTTTGTTGACTTTCATGGTTTCCTCCTTTCTGTTGAAATTGTCCACATGCTTGTGTGTAGTTGACATGGTGGTTGTGAGAGTGGTCCAGCATTTCTGTGTTCTCAAATAATATGCTGTGCCCAGGTTGGTTCATCAGGTGCTCTGCTATGGCTGACTTCTCTGGCTGAAGTAGTCTGCAGTGCCTTTCTCAGTCTTGCAGCTCTTCTGATGTCTGTGGTGGAGTCTCCATTGGCCTGTAAAGCCCAGTTTAGGTGGCTCCTTTCACCCTGGACATTCCACAGATATATAAACTCAATTTTCCTAGTTTCCAACAGACTTCACAACCTCTGAGGATGCCTGCCATAGATGCAGGTGAAACATCAGGAGAGAATGCTTCTGGAACATGGCCATACAGCCCGGAAAACACACAACAACCCAGTGAATCCAGCCATGAAAGCCTTCAACAATACATTCACATTATTCTATTTGGAAAATCAAAAGGTTTTCCTAAGACACTGTCAATTTTCTCTAGGCAAAGCACTTGCAACCAAGTCAGTATTAAGAAAGGAACTAGCTCAGTCCTGTGAAAACTCGTAATTTTCTTTCCATGGAAATTCTCACCACCTCCTTCTTACTGTTGAAGAGGCTGATTGTATTCCTTCCCAATGGCTTCCTCTTTTGATCTTCTTTTTACAGATACAAACAAAAACAGAGAAGGAAAACACTGTGTCTGAGTTCAAAAAATTACACCAGTTATTGGAAGCTCAAGAAAGATTTTTGCTGGGCCAGATAGAAGAGAGGGAGAAGGAGATTATGCAAAAAAGGGATGAATATCTGGTTAGAATATCCAAGGAACTCTCCTCTCTTGAAAGTCTCATCCAGGAGGTGGAAAAGAAGTGTCAGCAGACAGCAAGTGAACTCTTGCAGGTAAAAGAGTAGGAGAAAGTTTGGGAAAACAACTGGTTACGTGATCTTTTAGGTTTCCCAGCTGTTAAACTGATATCCTAAATATCTCTTTGAACTGTTAGGGACAAAGACATGCCAATCCACAGAGTTTCAGAAGTGTTCTTTTTAGTTGCCCCCAAATAATCTATTCTTTCTTAAAATATATTTGCCTTTAAATCATGCTCTCAAGAGACCAAAATAAGCAGACTTCTTTAAAAATAGCATAGTTGGTTTACTCACAAACTTCATGTATTCGGCATACAGGTACTTTGCTTATCAATCCAGTTACCAATATTATTTGAAGTAGTTTATCTGTGTTGAGAACATAGGGCATCTTTATTATAATCAACAGTCTAGTCTGAAAGTCCAGTGGAGTCTGTAAGCATATGTCGTCTAAAGGCATACTTCTCTTGCTGAAGTCTCTAAATCAAACTCTGTGCTAAAATGGAGTCTAAAGGCATACATCTCCACCAAAATCTAAAGCAAACTGTTTCTAAAATGGTCTGAGTTCTGAACTGAAATGGAGTCTGAGTTCTGAACAAGCCCAGTCCTGATCTCATGGTCTGCAGCCCCTCCCACAACAGAGGTTAAAGAAACCAATACACACATATACAATACAGTAAGCAATTATATACAAAACAAATATCTAGTGGAGGCTTGAGAAGGTTGCTATTTCCAACAGAAAGTGGCTCCCCAATCGTGATTTCTTCTTCTACAAAAGGAGTAAAACTCTCCAGCTTGTGCTTTTCTTACTTAGGAGACACAAGGGTCTATTTTTGTGTTGCATCTTCCATGGAAGATATAAGGGCACACCTACACTGACCCTTACGTTGGCCTTCATTCGGCATGATGAATGCTGGGTTGAGTCCAGAAAAAGTCCACACAGGGACTCCCCAAGCAGTTGTCATGGCAGTACCTTTTCCTCCCTCCCTCTCTATCTTTCCGGCACTCCATATTGCCCTCCCAGTGGGGAAAAGGTAGATGCTCATTGTAGTCAGAAACTGCTGCAATATGGTGTGGGAAAAGGACACTGCCCTGACTCCAGCCCACCTAAGCCTGAAGGAGGTGGGATGGTAGTGTAGACAGTTGCAGCCAGTTCCATTTGGGAGCCAATGCAATTGTCCCTACTGGCCCTAAATTAGGGGAAACCCCAAATTCTGAACCAGGATTCGGATCATCCCCCAAGCGAGTAGTCACTGTGCGGTTGATCCAAATCTATACCAGCCTAAGTAGATTATCAGTGGGGATTGATGGCTTCCTTGTCAGTGGTATGGTAATCCATAAGGGTTTTTTTGTCATGTCAGGAGTGACTTGAGAAACTGCAAGTCGCTTCTGGTGTGAGAGAATTGGCCATCTGCAAGGACGTTGCCCAGGGGACGCCCAGATGTTTTGATGTTTTTACCATCTTTGTGAGAGGCTTCTCTCATGTCCCCGCATGGAGAGGTGGAGCTGATAGAGGGAGCTCATCCGTGCTTTCCCCGGATTCAAACCTGCAACCTGTCGGTCTTCAGTCCTGCCGGCCCACGGGTTTAACCCACTGTGCCACTGGGGGCTCCATATACATAAGGTGAATTCAAATAAATGCAAATCCATAAAATAAATGCTATTCTTGTAGAGTTCATCCATAAGTTGAACTCTCCAAGAATAGCATTTAATTTGTGGATAAGGTTTGGCATTTTTGATTGCATATTTAAAGTCTGGACTAAAATTAAAAGTGGATTTCCACATGAAACTACTCTTCCCTCACTTTAAGAAGCTTTAGTTGAGTGTACCAAGTAAATATATGTAGGCCAGAGAGGGCATTTAGAAAATCCAGATTTTTACTTATGACTGACATCTCTCTTCCATCTTTGTTTTCCTTCTAGGATGTTATGGAGACCCTGAAGACGTAAGTAGATTCCACACATTTCCCTTCATGCTGCTGAGATTGAGTGTTACATGGAGAACTGGGAAAAATGGAGGACTCCATAAATCCTAAAATTCTGGCTTGCTTTGTGCTGCTTCAGAGACCTGAGCATGAAGCAGTGTATTCAAGTCACAAGAAAACAGATTCCACATAGGAAGGTCCACTTGAGTGTTTGGGTTCTTAAAGAGTGTAACAATCCATCTTGGAGATGCAGGAATCTCCTTTGGAATCTCTCTTTGCCTCTACTATCCTTCCCTCCAATGAGCAGTCAGGCTTTATTTCCTGAAGTATGGACTGGTTGGATCTCCTCACTGTCCAAGGCACTCTCAGCCCATACTTCAAGAAATAAAGCCCGACTGCTCATTGGAGGGAAGGATAGTAGAGGCAATGATGAAGTATTTTGGCCACATCATGAGAAGACAGGAAAGCTCAGAGAAGACAATGATGCTGGGGAAAATGGAAGGAAAAAGGAAGAGGGGCCGACAAAGAGCAAGATGGATGGATGGCATCCTCGAAGTGGCTGGCTTGACCCTGATGGAGCTGGGGGTGGTGACGGCTGACAGGGAGCTCTGGTGTGGGCTGGTCTATGAGGTCATGAAGAGTCGGAAGCAACTGAACGAATAAACAACAAAAAAGTTGTCTGTCTTTTTTGAAATGTGGAGAGAAATTACATTCAGTGGATGCAAAAAGACATGGATAGACACAAATCTGAGCTGGAGACTCTTGTGTGATGAAGACAAAAAGAAACATCATTTTGGACTCCGAGGACTTTATCACACCAGGTTGTTTTAGTACAAAAATAGTGTGTTTAATACCAATGGGAACATAGCAGCATTACATTTCTTTCTTTTGCACCTATTTTGTAATAGTCCTGTATTACCACTTTGGTTATTAAAGTTCTTGTAATCAGCCATATCATTGACCACTACTTCCTAGATGGGGATGTAATTCCCTCCCCACATCAATGGTTTGAATGCGCATCAGCATCAGGACAGTCATAGCGTTGCATTGTAAGGAATGGCTAGAGGTGGCATTATACAGCTGCAGACGCACTGCATAAACCTTGTGTGAACAGTCCATAGTAGCCGTAGTGAACAGAGCATCTTCCCCAAAGCATCTTTGACCCAGTTGATCAATAGTTCTGTCTTTCTGTCTGGTTGTCCATCTTTCTCTTTCTCTGTGTATAATAACAACCATGATTATCTCTCTAAACACCCTTCTGTGTTTGTTCCTTCTCGTTGACTCAGAAATTCTGAATCAGGTGAATCGTGCATTGACATTGTTTCTCTCTACTAGGATTAAAAGGAGGATGACTTTTGTGAACCCCATGCTTTTTCCTTCTGAGCTGGAGGGGAAGATCTGGGAATCTTGGGATATGAACCCCTTCCTAAAGTTTCTTATGAAGCAATTAAAAGGTAAGTATGGGAGTCAGCAAGGATTTTACCAATCGTAAATGTTTGCAGGGTGTGTCAGGGGTTCTCCCATGACTTTCGTAGGATTTTACTCAGAAGTAGTTTAGCCAGTAGCATTTTTTGAAACATATCTCAGGGCACCTAAGGGCACCTAATCTTCCACCCATATACTAGATAATGACATTGCTATATACCTTTGAGTAATATCTGCCATCCGTATCCAGGCCCTGTTTGCCCTGCTAGATCAGTTGACATCTTGAGCAATGATCAACTTATAGGCCCCAATGGAACTCTGTTGGCTCTGGGAAATTGATGCTTCTGTTTGATGTTTTGTTTTTTGTTTGTTTGATATAATAGGTTACTGTAACGGATTGGCCTCCCTTAAAGGGTTGGTGTAAAAGCAATACACAGACCTGGTTGGAAAAGCTAACGAGAGCAAGAGGGGGTGGAGCAATCAGGCAGCTTTGTAGCTGGAAGAGCAATCTGATTGGCTGATGAAATTGGAGCTAAGGCAGCCATTATGGTCAGTTAGGAGTTTTGAAGGAAAAGGAAGAAAGGAAGAGTTTTTGGGAACTGTTGTTAAAAGATACCTCTTTGAGGGAAATAGTTAAAGCCTCCAGGAAGAAGGCATGAGAATAGTAGTAGGCCTCTATAGTGTTAGAGTGCTGATGTGGAAAGAAGATTCAAAAGGTTCAGAATAACCTGTTTGTATTCCTGCATGTGGAACATTGCTTTTAAGGAACTCAAGTTAAAGACAATTCTTGGAACAAGTAAAGCCTATCAGTTAATTGAAACCATTTGTTGTAGCTCAGCCAGCTGAGGATGTTGATGAGGGGTCTTGGGGGGTGCAGGGCCTCCAGCTGAAGATGTTGATGAGGGGTCTGAGGGTGCAGGGCCTGTTCAGACAGAGGGGATGTTGGAACAGGAAGGCAATTCCCCAGTTGGGAGAACAGAGGACTCTTTGTGTGAAAACGAAACTGTTTTGCAGAATGACAGACTGGAAAAAAGATTAGATAGAGAGGTGAGACTGCTTCTCCATGGGAAGAATTCCAAGTGCAAGTCAGGCGATGGGAAAAGTGTCCAAAGGGCCAAAGGAATGCTTTCATGCATTGCTGTCCTTATTAAGGGGGAAAACTGCTTTTGGTTTTTCAGATCAAGTAACTTTGAAATTGGAGTCATGTCCATTGTCAAGTTTTGTTGTAAGTCTTGGGGATTTTACCATGTGTTGTTCTTTGATTCTTTGATCACTTAAGTGGATGTTTTATTCCTCATCTTTGGATTATTCAAGCTCATGAGTTTACCTTGCTCCTTGGATTTATATTCTTGTTTAACCTTTGCATTGGAGTTTTATCTCTGGTTTTGTGAGACTCTTTTTATTTTACCTATTTGGATTTTTTACTCTTTTACTGTGTCCCCCCCAATAAACTGTTTATTTCTACGTTGGGCTTCCTGGTGAGTGCTTGAGCAAGGTGTATCCCAGCTGAGGTGCAACACCATTACGCATCTTTACTGTTCAAGAACAAAATAAACCACATATTCTTGTTTCCCCTGAAGAGATTGTGTGGCTTCTTAAACATTCTAGCAAGGAGCTGGCCTAGGAAACAATAGAAGGTGGCAGCAAAATAAATCTTATTAAATATTTGGTGGCAGCAAAGAAAAATATAATATACAGTGGTAGCATCTCACTGTCCTGCCTTGTGTGAGAGTGTGTGTGTGTCTCTGATCCCCTCACAGCCTCACCTTGGGCCAGACCTTGTTGCTTGTCATCCATCTTTATTGCAGTTACATTTAATTTAATTTTAATTGTTAAGTTATAATTTGCTTTTATATGCTGTTAGCTTAATTTTCGTTACTACAGTAGAGTCTTGTTTATCCAACCTTCACTTATACAATGCTCTGTATTATCCAACACAGTCTGCCTCCCGCCCGGATCCACAGGTAAAGGGAGTGTTTATTTACCTGTGGAATCAGGTCCAGGGTGGGAGAAAGAAAGAACCCTTGTCTGTTTTGGTGCTAAATTCATAAATACAGTAATTACTACATAACATTACTATGCACTGATTTGCTTTTTCTGTTGATTTGTTGGAAAGCATGGTGTTTTGGTGCTTAATTTGTAAAATCATAACATAATTTGACATTTAATAGACTTTTCCTTATTGTCCAATGTTTTCACTTATCCAACGTTCTGCCAACCTGTTTATGTTGGAAAAGCAAGACACTACTGTATGTGTGTATTGTGTGAATGTTTGCCTTTTGTAATTGGAATCCGCCCCAAGTCCCACTCGGAGAGATACGGCGGAATATAAATAAAGTATTATTATTATTTTACTGACACAAAAACGCAGTATGTCACAGCAAACGAGATCTATATACTTGATTTCATATGAAAAAATCACAAGTGGAACACTTCCCAAGCGTCTAGGACTGTGTGATGTATTTCCGAATGATGCGCGCAGATCCAAGTAAGGTGGCCTTTTGCAGTTGACAGATCGTGATATTTATTATTATTGCAAACCAGGGCTGGCTCTGTTTAGCTTCCAAAATCAGTTGGGATCTAATATGTTTAGGGTGTTTCCTGTAAAGTAATTATCTACTGAAATCAACTGTTGAGCTTTTTTCAGGTTCTGAATGCCTTCTTCTTGAAATGAGATGGAATTGAGTGTGTGATTATGAACTTCTTTTGCTGTTGGAAGGTTTATTACAGGTCTGATTAAGTGTTTGAACTTGATGTCTTTTTGCTTCCTAGATGCATTCTTATCCAGACCTCCTCTGCAGAAAGGTAAAACCCCCATAGCGAGTTCAGAGGTTTAGTGAGCAGCATTTGTTTAGATAGAGCTTTTGTTGAGTTGGAAATGGGAGGATTGAATGAAAAGTAATGCCTCCGCCTTCATAACTCTTCAATTATTAAATTTTATTTGTACCCCGCTAGCATCTCCCGAAGGACTCGATGCGGCTTACAAAGGCCAAGGCCTCAACACAACAACAACAGACAATAACAATACAATGCAAAGCAAATTAAAACATAAGCAATAACAAAACAGAACATTACACTATTACGCAATAAACGCCCAAAAAACAGATGGCAGTACTGGTATGTGGCAGGTACTTACTTGTTCAGTAGACTCTCCTCTACAGTTCCATTTTGACGGTTGTGTTGTTAAACTGCGAAGTATGGAACTCTGTGCAGACTGTCAGTCAATTCAACTTTATGCAAGTTAATGATTGTCGTATCACTCAGAGAGAAATTTCAAGGATAATCGGCATTTCACAAAAATGTGTGCTTTGCTTGGCTACCGGAAGATCTGTGCACAATGGGTACCCAGGATGCTGACGCCTGAAATGAAAGTGCACAGACTTCTTCCATGACGGCTTCAGAAAACTTGTTCATCATTGGCAGAAATGTATCCAATTGTCTGGTGATTATGTGGAAAAGTGAATAGTGGTAGTTAAAGAGCACATTCAAAGGATTATTTCTGCATTTGGTTTATTAAAATATTCCCATCCAAACCCAAGTAATTAAGGTGGAGGCATTACTCTTCATTCAACTCTCATACCTTGCCTTTCAAGATTTGTTGACAGCTAATACAGAGTATTGTTGAAGGCTTTCATGGCCGGAATCACTGGGTTGCTCTGTGTTTTCGGACTGTATGGCCATGTTCCAGTAATATTCACTCCTTACATTTCGCCTACATCTCTGACCAGCATCTTCAGAGGTTCTGTTGGCCATGAAGCAAGTGTTGTGTATATATATCTGTGGAATGTCCAGGGTGAGAGAACCTTTGTCTGTTTAAAGCAAATGTGAATGTTGTAGTTAGCAAGTCTGAATTAGTATTTGAGTAGCCATAAAGTTTGCAAAGTCAACCAGTGAGGGTATCTGCATACAAGTAGCCTGGCCTTTGTTGCCTGGAGGCATCCTCTGTTTGGGAGGTGTTGACTGGTACTTGGTTGTTTGCTGCCTAGAGTTCCCCTGTTTTTGAATGGTGTTCTTTATTTACTGTTTTGTGGAACCACAGACGCAGGCAAAATGTTAGGAGAGAATGCTGCTGAAACATGGCCATACAGCCCAAAAAACTCACAGCAACCTCGCTACTACGGAACTGGGCTATGGATATGATATGATACAATTCTGATTATTTGGGAAATCAGAAAATAAATAGAGGGCTATCTCAAACTGCTATGCATGCAAATCCTCCTAATCTAAGAGTCTATGTGATTCTTGGGTTTATATTCATTACAGCAGTCAATGGGTTGCTGTATGGCCATGTTCCAGGAGCATTCTCTCTTGATGTTTTGCCCTCATCGATGGCAGGTCTCCTTAGAGGTTGTGAGGACTGTTGTAAACTAGGCAAGTGAGGTTTATATATCTATGGAATAATCCATGGTGGGAGAAAGAACTCTTGTTGTTGGGTTTGGCCTCATGTAAGCCGCCCCGAGTCCCTTGGGGAGATGGTGGCGGGGTATAAATAAAGATTATTATTATTATTGTTGTTGTTGTTGTTGTTGTTGTTATTATTATTATCTGCTTGAGACAAGTGTGAATGTTGCAATTTGCCATCTTGATTAGCATTGAATGGTCTTGCAGCTTCAAAGTCTGGCTGCTTCCTACCTGGGGGAATCCATTGTTGGGAAGTGTAGGGTGGCCCTGATTGATTCTTGTCTGGAATTCCCCTGTTTTCAGAGTGTCGTTCTTTGTTTACTGTCCTGATTTTAGAGTTTTTAAATATTGGTAGCCAGATTTTGTTCATTTTCATTGTTTCTTCCTTTCTGTTGAAATTGTCCACTTGCTTGTGGATTTCAATGGCTTCTCTGTGTAGTCCGACATGGTGGTTGTGAGAGTGGTCCAGCATTTCTGTGTTCTCAAATAATATGCTGTGTCCAGGTTGGTTCATCAGGTGCTCTGCTATGGCTGACTTCTCTGGTTGAATCAGTGTGCAGTGCCTTTCATGTTCTTTGATTCATGTTTGGGCAATGCTGCGTTTGGTGGTCCCTATGTAGACTTGTCCACAGCTGCACGGTACACGGTACACTCCTGTAGAGGTGAATTCTGGACATTCCACAGATATATAAACCTCACTTGCCTAGTTTCCTACTGACCTCATAACCTCTGAGGATACCTGCAATTGAGGTAGGTGAAATGTCAGGAGAGAATGCTTCTGGAATATGGCCATTGTTCTGGAATGGCTGTTCCAGGGACTCCATTTTTGTGCTTTGCACTGAGTGTTTGTTCATAGTCCTAAGTTGCAGGGACTTTGCAGATAGGTGGCTCCTTTGGCTGCATTCATAGGGCAAGCCACCTGTCAATAATTGTTAGGATCCCTGGTCCCGCCCCTCTCTGGTTTTTTGGAGGGAAGGGGCCATTTTTCAGTTAGTCTCAGCAAAGGAAGTCTATGCAGAGGATGTATACAGACGTCCTCCTGTACAAAGGCTTCGTCCCTTAAGACTTCCCGGGGGAGAACAGTCTTAAGAGCCTCTAAAGATTCCCAAAGGTTCCGGAGAAACAGCCTTACAGCCCTGAGGAACTTCGGAGGGAATAACAGCTCTAATTGTCAAGATCTCCAGCTAAGTGACTACAGGCTTGCTGGTACGTCTGCTCAGTTCTGAGACGCAGTTCAGCCGGTAGTGGATTCAAATCAGTCAGGTTTAGGTTCACAGTAGCCTGGGAGGAGCTAGAAAGAGGAATTTTCTTTTGAACAAAGTTATTGAAGATAGTGCCTGTTCCCCGTGGACAAGTTTGAGAGAACTGGTTTCTTTACCAAGAAAGCTTTACAATTCCTGTTTGTTCATCAATAAAAGACTGTTATATTTAAGCTCAAGCCCCCTAAAGACTGTTTAATGAGGGAAATTTCTCTAAAGGCTCCTTTTCAGGCCCCCTGGCTTCCCGCTGGATTCAAGCCATACATCCCCTCTTAAAGGCACTTCATTTCAGGTCCAGCGGCGACAGAACAGCCATACAGCCCAGAAAACCCACAGAAACTCAGTGATTTCGGTCATGAAAGCCTTCGACAACACAGCAGTCAACGTTCCTACTAATGCCTCTTCTTTGTTTCTTCTCTTTCTTCTTCTCCATTCAATCCCACAGCAAATGTCAATCTAGATCCAGACACAGCTTATCCCCAATTCATCATCTCTAAGGATTGCAAAAGTGTGATTTGGGGAGACAAAGGTCAACACCTGCCTGACAAACCACAGCGCTTTGACACCTGTGCTTTCCTGCTGGGACATGAGGAATTTATCACCGGCAGACACTTCTGGGATGTCGTTGTGGAAGATGTGGGAACGTGGAGTGTGGGGGTCGCCGGAAAGTCAGTGAGGAGGAAAGGCCCTGTTGGTTTTGGTGTCGAGGAAGGAATTTGGGCTGTGGGGAAATGGGAAGGTAGATACTGGATGACCAACCATCCTAATTCCCCTCGCCTGACCTTGAAGAGGGAACCCAAGAGGATCCGAGTGTGTTTGAACTATGAGGAAGGGCGTGTGGCCTTTTACAACAGTGAGACAAGAGCCCTTCTCCTCTCGTTCTCTGAAGCCTCATTCACAGGAGAGCCCTTGCTCCCCTTCTTCTATGTGACTGGGAAAGGCCAGCTCAGAATTTCTTCTTAAGGTTTCCCCAAGTACCATGCCTTCAATAAACTCTCTTTTCCTGACTAGAATGATTAATCTCTAAATCAGATGTTTTATTGGTTGGGATCCTGTTTTCCCCTATCTAAGGGTTCTTGCGTGATCCGCACTTCTTAAATGTTAAAGAAGATGTTGTCCTGTATTTCTCACTCATTAAGCTGTAATAACAATATTAAAATATGACGTCATTATAGTGCATGCATCTCTCATTTTCTGAAGTTGCCGAGAAAGACAAATGACTGTCCCCTGCCATTTTTTATATCTGTTTTTGGCTAAACAGCTGGAAGATCTGGCCCATTGCTGGCAATGGGGAACTTAGGCGTCTCCCCTTTCTGTTCCTGGGATCCTTTTCTTTCCTCTTTTCAAGGGGGTCTGGGTTTGAGGAATGGGGTTAAGGAGGCATCCTATCTGTGTCTACACTTCAATTTAAAATATACTTTTGAGTCAAGCCACGCTACACATCAAAGGAAGATAAACAAAACATTACAGGCTTGTGACGGCGCGAGTGGCGCCACCTATGTATAGAACTGTTAGTTGTAAGATTTAAACTGTTGTATCATG